TGCTCAATTCAATTATCATTCCATGTGTTAGTACGCTGCACACACTCTAGTTGGTGTCACACAGGCAAGAGTGTGTAGCCTCTAGATTAGTATTCTTAGCTTGAATAGAATAGTGTGTGTGTGCTTGTGCTTGTAGTGAACAGGGCTTTAAACTGAATTCCTGATATTCTGGACAAAATTTGCTAAATGTGCTGATACTATCCTTACCATTTGTATGGAATTTGCACCTGGCACAGATACAATTGTGTTAGGTAATCTGATAAACTGATCTACAAGTGAAAAGTACTAAATAGGTGATCAAATCAAATCAAATCTTTATTACATTGTAATCCAGCATAAGGTGGGTAGGATACAATCAGTTTAAGGAGGAGACATGGGATTAAAAAGCATAGAAGATATATCGAAGTCTAGTTTAAGAGGGAAAAAATCCTAAACATATATGTTATGTATATATAAAGTCTAAAAAAAATCTAAAGGGATGGAATCTAAAAATATATATGTTCCACTGTGTCTCCATAATATTGCTATTCCTCCAGATCTGTAATATGTGTGAAATGAAAGAAAAACATTATTGATGAAATTAAGATTAAGGGGGGGGGATACAGAGATCTGAATGCAAGTAATCTGATCTTGTAGAGCACCCTTGATGAATACCCTTGATGTGGAGTGTTGAAAAGGCTAAAATTATGTCCAAAAATATAAATTAGTATAATCTAAGTTGTCCTGGTTGTATATGAAGTAGAAATCCATAGGTTGGTGATAGTTGCATGTCGTGTTCCAGTGAATGGCAGTAATGTAATAATCATAATAGTTTCTGGGGGAAATTGCAACATTCAAAATTCATTTTGAATGAATGCAATTTGCTCAAGCATTAATAACAATGGTATTCTTAACCACATAAATGAACAATTGCTGCAAAAAACAATGAAAGTTTTATAATGTGTATATAGACAAAAAGATACTTATTAGGAATGAAATTTAAAAATCAATTTACAGTTAACATGTTAAAAAGCAGACAAAATGTATGGTAATTCTGAGGGAAATAAAAATTGTTTTGGAAGTACATGAGGAGGCTAAACACAGAGCTTCCACCAGAATGCATGACATTAAAAATAGAAGTTATTTAATGATTAAATGATTTGGGATGAAATTGAAGTGAAAGAATGCTGGAAGGAGTATTTTAGAGATTTTTGATTTGTTCTTCAGTAAATTATTGAGAAATACATGATTTGTAGTAAATGTTAGTTAATTTGTGTGATGCAGTGAAGAGAGTATGGATCTGAAAATTCATGTATCAATTATATCTAAATAATTAAAAATGAGAGCAGGTAGATGACTTTGTCTATTTGGTAAATGTTTCTTAAGATTGGACAGTTGTAAAAAGAGGAAATATAAAAATAATAGATAATGTGTGATCTGTTGTAAGGAATGAATATTCGTCAAAAGCAAGAGTTTTTATTTATAAAAGAATGCTTCTGGACTTGTTTTCTGGAGGTAAGTCAACTGGGCCTGGTATGTCAGGAGAAACCTAGAATATAAAAATGTCTTTAAAAATCAATAAAATTTGTTCAAAAAAAACAACAACAAGAAAACATTGAGTCAAGAAGATATGATTGACTGAATGTAGATTATATATCAAAGTGAGTAAGCACAAAGATTCTGGTTAGAAAAAGAATAATGAGGATATAACAGTGGGTGAAGAGAAAGGAAATAGAGAGGAAGCCATAACTGTTGATGTATGATTTGGAAAAAGAGGTGACAAAATTAAACTAGAAACTGGAAGACAGTTTCTTTCAACAAAAAAACCTCTTTCAACAAAACTTCTTTCAACAAAAAAAACATCTGGGTGATTTTAAGCCAGTCATTCTCAGCCAACAGGGTTATTGTTGTGGAGAAAATAGGTAGGAGCATTCTGTATCCAGACTTGAGTTGTTTAAATAAAGATGTAATATAAATGTTGCTGTTCTTCTTGTGCGGTTTCGATTCATGCTCACCGCTGGAGCGCCCCGAGCCGGCTGGTTTCGGGGCTAAGCCACCCCGTAGAGGTGGTGAAGAGGGTAGAGATCGCCAGCAGGGTCGAGGAGAGCCGCATTTCTCCTCCCCAGCTGTCCATTACTCCCTTTCCCGAAGGCGGTTGCAGCGGTGGTCAGAAATGGCCACCTCATAAAAGAACTTGACTGGAAAAGAATGTGCAGGAGAAAGATAAGAAGAGAAAGTTTTGGCTGACCGGGTTGAACTGAAAAGCAACAACATAAGGTACCCTGGAATTTGAACTATAAAGAATAAGATTGCTCCCAAAGAAGATATTGAAGCGGTGAATGAGAGAGGGAAGGGAAAGGATTTGGGTTGTTTTTCTTTCCTTCCCCATATTGACAACTAAGAGTTTTAAGTAAGAAACTGACAAAAATCCACGTTGACATTAACAGGCATTTAAACTGAAAATAAAATGTCAAAGGGATAATAAAGACTTCTGGATTTTCAAAAACTTTTAAAAGAAGGAAAGGAGAGAAAAGGAAAAAATAAAAGGGTGGGATCTGGAAAAATGGAGGAGACCACCTGGAAGTAAAACGAATTAACAGTGAAACTCTAACAAGATTCCTAAAAGATTCATTCCAACTGAAACTTTGTAATAAGATAATAGAACCCCAAGAAGAGAAAGTGGAAAAAAGAAGCAAGAAGAAACAGCTTTGGATTATTTGGATTACTTGGTGATTTTTGGATTTTTGGTTATTGGATTTAAAGGACTAAAATCATTCGGGTGGTTGTTTAAAAGTTTTTAAAATGGTATCACTCTTGGAAGAATTGAAAATGGAACTTAAAAAACAGAAAGAAGATGCACAAGAAGGAAGAGGGTTTTTTGGCTTCGTATTTCAATTTTTAGAAATGGAGATCCTGAACCATAGAAACAACAAGAAATGCCTGTAGAACAAGAAGGGCGGGACAAAGAA